AAATCGTCGAAGCTGGGAAACATCTTTGTTTGCATGATGGGATTTTGCATCTACCCGTTGGATAAGCCGGCTCCGGTGCTCGAGCTTCTTCTGCCAGAATCGCACTAGATTTACATCGAATTACAGAGGTACTTAAAAAACCTCTTTACATTCACATATATACACACACATACACGTCGTGCGTGTGGCTATTGACTCCGATTGATTTAGCCGTCGGAGGATCGAGATAAATGGATTTCGGGCGTATTTTCTTTGATCGTCTTGGCAGCCCAACATGTTTTTTTCGGGGTAACAGCGGCGACTAAAGTTTACGAGGTATCCATAAACGGTCCTTTTTCAATTTCATTTCGGTTTTGCCCTGCGCGTTATTTTTCCAGTTTTTTACAATACACGTGATTCGCAATTTTTAGTGTGTAATCGTATATTTAGATCTTAAGCTCTATTTTAGGCATGTAGGAAAGGAGGTGGCCTTTCTTCAACATGGCCGATTTCGACGAGCTGTTGCCGGAAAAGAAACGTTGTCTCACTCTGAGCAGGTTTTTCTTTGAATTGTTCATCTTCTTTTAATTTGCAGTTGAAGATAACTACATAAGGTTCACTGTGGTATTTTTTGAAAAACGATCATTGAATATGAATAAAGCTTTTGTTGAAAATAACACATATGTTCTAATCCAGGTCACACGTTGGAATCTGTCTGTTCTGGTGTTTGCTTGATCAATGCGTGTTGAACGTAAATTACTTCTGTCATCGAGTTTGGCTTCTTTTGCTAGGCATGATAAGACAAAAAATCAGCCTAAAATATCTCTAATATATGAACATTCCCTTGATTGATTTTGATTGGCGTTCTTTTTGTAAGTAACAAGTCGATATTTTGAATCAGCAGATGCTGTTGGACACAGGCTGTTAAAACAATTCTTCTGCAGATTCCTTCCCTTGGAAAACAGGTTAGATGGCAACTCCAATAGAAGAGTGTAGCAAAACATCCCTTTTAGAAGCGTGAATAATCGAATTTCAATGTTTAAACATTCACGACTTCACCCGATAATTTTCCGAAATACATTTAGAACTTTAATATTTGTTTTATGCACATACGATAGGAATTTTGGTTATCGCCTTAGATACGCACTAAAGAAAGTCCACATCTCCATAAAATGCATTATTCATTTTTCATTCCAACAATTTTATTGTGTTCCTCGCATATACAGATTATTGATGCTCTATAGTAATGCCTTTCTGGACAGACTTAGGTTTGAATATATAATTAAAATGAGTATAGTCCAGTCGAAAATAATAGCCAAAAGAAATGACGTGATTCGTTTCGAATCTGTTAGAATTTAAAATTTAATATTTTTATAAGGTTGCCCTTTTATTATTATGAGATGAAACAAATATATCTTATTTAATTGTTTCTCTCAATAGGTATCTGCGGCTGCAGGCTACTCAAAGTTTGTAAGCAGTGAAATGAGCAAAGCTGAAGCATTGCTAAAGGTTTGATGTCTTCCGAGGCTCAAATAAACGTGTTTTGTATTCTATTTTATTTTCCCTTTCTTTTTAAATTGCCTTGTCGTGGTTAAAAATTCTGTAAATGTTACACATGTCATTTTGTCCCCAAATCAGTGGCAGATACATACTGTGCCCTGTTGCGTGAGGGTACTCCTCCTGAGTTCCAAAGGATTTTGGATCTAAAGGTTTGTGATACCCTTCCCGAACTTGTCGAATAGATTTTTCTTTAGAAAATTTTAAATAATGGAAATTATGGTTATTTTTTTATTTTTTCTCTCTTTTGATCGTTAGTACAATTGTTTGCCCCCATTTACTATTTTAGTTGTTGTATTCGTCTTTTCCTTTAGTGTATTTGTGTCCTCAACTCCTCATTTAGGGCCTCAACAGAACCGAGCGACAAAGAATACTCGATGATTATAACCAACATGGAGCCAGGACCAACCAACCTTCAATAAAGCCCGTCTTTGCGCCCACTTCTACTCTCTCAGGTACACCCGCCTTAGCCAATAACAATAATAGTAGTAGTAGCAGTAATCTATCCACGCCAGTTGGCATCATCCCACTGAAGGAAGAAATAGTGGCACGGGCAGCTGCACTTGGGCGTGGTGCCACAACGGGCATACGGCGCATCCTAGCTTTAATCGAGTCCACTACCAAGGATCTAAAGGATGGACCCCTTAGAAAACTTTTCATCGGGTAAGAGGAATGTTGAATATCAACTTTTTGTGCCTCTATTACTTAATTTGCATGCATTGAAGAAACTTTTGAAAATGTGTTGGTGTGTGTAGTGTTTTGATTAGTCTCGTTCGACATTCTTGTATATGATGGGAATTTGAGGGATTTGTTTGCTGATAATGTATCGTGTAGTTGATTTTATTTTCTACTGAAAGTTTTAACAAGTTGTGTGTTGAGTGTTTTTTTTTTTTTTTTTNTTAGGCCGATTTAATCATTTATGGTCAATCCAAATCAATTCTCCACCCTCCACATGAGGAGATGGGCACGTCGGAGTTCCACCGAGTTTTCTCCATGCTCGATCGGAATGGCGACGACAAGATCAGACGGGAGGAGCTCCACAAGTCGCCCGAGAATCTCGGGATCCGCATGTCGGAGCTGTACGCGGCGGTGATGGCTGACGACGGCGGCGATGAGGACATGCGGGACGTGTTCATGCCAAAAGATTTTTTCACGGATTTTGTGAAAGTCGCACAAGCTAGATGAAGGTAGGCACTTTCCCCTGCTTGCAGCGACTTAAGGAACTGGGGTCTTTTTATGGAGCATTACCTGCTCATGACGGTCTCTTGGACTAAGCTACTGCTACTTCAAAGGATTTATTGGGCGTTTTTTTTTCTTTATATATTATTATTATTATTGGCACGTTTAGCAGTTGAACAATGTGTTCATGAGGTATTCTTTCTTGCTCCACACTGAAAAGAATGGGTAGCATGAGTTCTTTCTGAATTCATATAATTTTTGGGATAATTACAAATTATTAATAACATTGAGGTTTGCCTAAATTACACAAAATCTCAATTGCCTATGAGAGGTTAATAACTCCTTACTGCACATGCAATTAGTTAGGTGGACACAAAATATCAAGGCAAGTTTGTAACATTGAAGACATAAATTAGTAATGACAAAAAATTGTGTCAAATTGCCTTAACAAAAAATGTTGTCGAGTTCGAGTAAATATTCAACTCTTTTAATTGTGATTTTTAGGTTAAAGTTTTGGTTTTTTGTTTTTTTGGGTTTTTTTCAGAACTCTTGATGTGCTACCAACAATAATATCCAACTCGTCAGGTATATTAAATGGCGATAAATGTTTTGATTCTAAAACTATAGAATCTGATGAGTTGGAAGTGATTTTTGTTACATTTTGATTTGAGATTTTATCACCGATAAAAAACATAAAATATAAAAATTTCTATTAATTTTTAGTTTTTTGATTTGGCGCCATTAAATTGATTTAGAAGAAGGTTTCAAGCTACAAATTTCTATTAATTTTTAGTTTTTTGAATGATGGTGGAATTATATATTTTATTTATTTATTTGTTGAATCTCAAGTTTTGAAATAATTTTTCCTTAATTAATATCATTGAATTGTGTGAAGATTGAAATAAATTATTGGTGTGGTTAGTTTGCATGAAATGGGAAAATATAAAATGAGTACATAAAAGAAAAAGGAAAGAGAACAGTTAGATGGAAGAAAGAGAAAACAAATCGGGTGCTATTATTTTGGCTATTTGTTGTTATTATTTTATTATTTTGGCTATTAACCATGCGTATTGCAACATCAGCAGCCACATAGATGGAACTGTTGGCTCCATAGTAGAAACCAACGGTTGGTTTATTAGACAAACTGATATTTGTCATTTAATATCATTTAATATTAGTATTAATATTAAATTATGTTTATTCTAAAATTTAAGCACTTTACCGCTTTTCTGTACCCAAATTTCGGCATACTTAGTTTTTTTAAATCTTTCACAAAACATTTATGTTGAGTCAATAATGGTTGCGGCCAGTACAAGAAGAAAAAGGAAAACAATGGACAGCAGCCCACACATTCTTAAAAAATTGTAGCAGCAGCCGGTTGTTTTTGGTTGAAAAAGGAAGCATCCTTATGTTGAAAAAAATTGTACACTTCCCCTCTATAAATAGAGGAGATTCTGATGCACTTAAAAAACACACCAAAACACAAAAGAAAAACACAAGAGAAAGAAAAAAAAAAAAAAGGCGAGAAAAAAAAAAGGACTGATCGGAAGCAGATAAATTTTTAGCTTCTGTGTGTATTTATGTTGTGGGTTGTGAGTGAGTCTGAAAGTGTTTTATAAACACGAGTGTATTTTTTTTCTTAATAAAATATCTGCAGTAGTCCGGAGACGTAGGCATTATTGGCCGAACTCCGTTTATCAATTTGGTGTGTCCAATTTTTAATTTTTATTTCACTTTTATAGATCCGACTTCATGGAAAATTCAGCGTATTTTTCCCAACAACTGGTATCAGAGCCAGATTGTTAATTCTGTATTTTTTGTGTGGGGTTACTATTCCGTTGAAGAACGTGAATAGTGCCAATTTTGTCGGCGCTACAATTTAACTACCGACGTGTTTCGGAACACGGTAATTCACAAAAAATTGCAGAAACGATCCGACAGAGAAGTCAGATCAGAGTTGAAGTGATGGCTGCAGACGAAGGAAAAATGAAATTAAAAAGCTCAATGGTGCGGACTTTGGCTTTTGGAAGATGCAGATCGAGGATTATCTGTACCAAAAGAATATGTATCAACCACTCACAGGAAAGAAGCCAGAGGACATGAAGGAGGAAGAATGGAGTCTCCTTGACAGACAAGCCCTTGGAGCCATTCGACTGACGTTGTCCCGTAATGTTGCTTTTAACATTGCAAAAGAAAAGACAACAGCAGGCCTCATGAAGGCTCTTTCCAGCATGTACGAGAAACCATCAGCCTCAAACAAAGTTCATTTGATGAGGCGATTGTTCAACCTGCGGATGACCGAAGGTGCTTCGGTGGCACATCATCTCAATGAGCTCAACACCGTCACAACCCAGTTGAGTTCAGTTGATATCGAGTTTGATGATGAAGTACGGGCTTTAATACTTTTGTCTTCCCTGCCAGAAAGCTGGAATGCTACGGTCACGGCTGTGAGTAGCTCATCGGGAAACAATAAGTTGAGATTTGATGATGTCCAAAATTTAGTTCTCAGTGAAGAGATCCGGCGGAGAGAGTCGGGTGAACCATCAACCTCTTCTGTATTGCATACAGAATCAAGAGGAAGAAGTTCAACCAAAGAAAGCAGACACAACAAATCAAAAGGAAGAAGATCCAAGTCCAGAAATCATCGTAGTTCCCAAACCTCGAAGTCGATCGAGTGCTGGAATTGTGGGAAGACCGGGCACTACAGAAAACAGTGCAAGAGTGCACCGAAGGGTCATGAGGCAAAAGAAGGGGCAAATATTGCTTCAGCCTCTGGACGAGATATGCTGATATGTTCTTTGGAGAACAGAGAAGAGTCTTGGGTGTTAGACTCTGGAGCATCCTTTCATGCTACCTCACAGAAGGAACTACTCGCAAATTACGTTCCTGGAAATCTTGGTAAAGTTTACCTTGATAATGAGCAATCATGTGAGGTTGTAGGGAAAGGTGCAATTAAAATCAAGTTGAACGGGTCTGTATGGGAACTGAAAAATGTCAGACATATTCCCGACCTGACGAAGAATTTAATCTCTGTGGTCCAGCTAGCCAGTGAAGGCTACACGACAATCTTCCATGGTGATGATTGGAAGATTTCAAAGGGTGCGATGACAATTGCTCGAGGCAAAAAGAGTGGTACTCTTTACAAGACAGCAGGAGCATGTCATCTGATTGCAGTTGCAGCAAATGAAAGTCTCAATCTATGGCACCAAAGACTTGGGCATATGAGTGAAAAAGGGATGAAGATCGTTCACTCAAAAGGAAAATTACCACGCCTCCAGTCAATAGAAATTGACATGTGTGAAGGTTGTATACTTGGAAAGCAGAAGAGTGTCAGCATTCAGACAAGTAGAAGAACTCCAAAGAAGGAGAAGCTTGAGCTCATCCACTCTGATGTTTGGGGTCCAACAACTGTCCCATCCGTTGGTGGGAAGCAATATTTCGTGACTTTTATCGATGGTCACTCCAGAAAAGTATGGGTTTATTTTATGAAACACAAGTCAGAAGTATTTGAAGCTTTCAAGATTTGGAAAGCTATAGTGGAAAATGAGACAGGCTTGAAGATCAAGAAGCTCAGATCCGACAATGGTGGTGAATACGTAACCACTAGATTCAAGAAGTTTTGCAATGAGCACGGGATCAGAATGGAGAGAACCGTGCCTGGTACGCCTCAACACAATGGAGTAGCTGACCGTATGAATCGAACGTTGACTGAAAGAGCCAGAAGCTTGCGTGTGCAGTCAGGCCTACCAAAGCAGTTCTGGCAGAAGCAGTCAACACAGCAACTTACTTGATCAACCGAAGTCCATCGGTACCCTTGGATCACAAGTTACCAGAAGAGGTATGGAGCGGAAAAGAAGTAAAACTCTCACATCTTAGATTTTTCGGGCGTGTAGCATATGTGCACATCAGTGATCAAGGTAGAAACAAAATTGATCCAAAATCAAAGAAATGTACTTTCCTTGGTTATGGTGAAGATGAGTTTGGATACTGCATATGGGATGATGAAAACAAAAAGATGATTCGCAGCAGAGATGTCATCTTTAATGAAAGAATGATGTACAAGGACCGGCATAATACATGTGCCAGCAACTCAGAAGCGAGTGGACCAGTCTATGCTGAGCTGGAAGATATCCCAGACACTCCTATAATGAGGAGTCCTCAGTCAGAGGAATCAAATGAAGAAAGTGATGTGCAATCAGAACCTCCTACTCCAGCTCCTGTATTGAGAAGGTCCTCTCGGCCCCATGTGCCTAACAGGAGATACATGGACTACATGCTGCTGACTGATGGAGGGGAGCCTGAAAGTTACATGGAAGCTTGTCAAACCACGGATGCTAGCAACTGGGAGCTTGCCATGAAGGATGAGATGAAGTCCTTGATCTCAAATCAGACATGGGAACTAGTCAAGTTACCTATGGGAAAGAAAGCACTTCACAACAAATGGGTGTATCTGGTGAAGGAAGACCATGATGGTTCTAGGAGATACAA